AGCACTGACAGTTCAACATGGTAATAAACACATGGGGAAACCTCTCATTAAAGATAATGCCCCTCTAGGTTATTTGCTCTGAACCATTTTAATCACTCATTCTCAAGAAAATGTACTGATTTTTATAGTAATTTCCAGAGTTGTTCCTAGCTTAGTGTGGATATTTTAGCCTTCACCTTTCAACAGGAGTCTGCTCCTTCAAATTATTTTTTAGTTCAGATATAGCATTGTACAGAGGGTTAATCACCGTAGGGAAGAAAATTTTTCTGAGAGTGTGGTGTTAATTCCCAAGGGGACAAGACATGTACCTGCTAAAGCCTCATGTATTTGAGGAATTAAATCAGTCACTTGCCCTTTGATTTCATCATCTTTGAAATGAGAAAAGAAAACGTCTTGGAGCACGGTGAGATTAGGTTAGTGGTGTTTTGATAGGACATTGACACTTGTGGCAATGTGCAAAGAGCTGAGCTTTGAAAGAAAGGATGGTTAACTCTTCAGTTGGTGTGCATTTATCCCATAACTATCTTATAAAGTAAAACACAGTAAATACCAGTCTTGAGAAAGGAGTTTCACTATGTAATTCTAAAATACCAGTTAAAACAAAAGAGATTGCAAAGCAAATATGACATAACTGTTTTCTCAGTGGTTTTAAAAGAATCCCATTTTAAACAGTAGCACTGGCTAAAATTTAAACAGATATTGAACACATCAATTCTCAAACTAACAGCAGGAGTAGTACCTAGCTGGGGTATTGAACTGGTAAAGAGAACAAAATTATAAGAAAACCAACATTTCATATAACAAATTTTATTTTGAAAAATGTAAACGTCACTAACCATGCATACATGTTAAGACGATGTTTTACAGTTGTTAATTTTCTTCCTTTTTGCTTTTTTTACTGTTGTTGTATAGACATTATCACAATATATAATCTATGAAGTACAAAATACATAAAAAGTTACAGCAGAGCAAGTATAGATGAAATATATAACTGTACAACTGTAATACTTCAATGTAGTGATTTATAGAGTTGAAAGTGACCCATGGAAGTATTCATGTGCTGTAGACAGAACTGTCCAGGAGAAGGTGAAGATGACACCAGTAACATTACAGTTCCCGAAAGCTGAAAGTACATATGTAAACATGTGCACACTTACTGGCACGCACATTGTCACCCACAGAGGCAGGCACACGTGGATAAGCACATGTGCACGTGCACACACATCCCCCACAATGCGTATACACGTAAGGAACTACAGCTGTAACCAGAGATGAAACTAAACCACAAATCTCAAAATAAGCCAACCCAATCCAGATTCAAACTTTCCAAAGGCAATGGTGTTTGGATCTAGGATTTTGGTTCAGACCCATCGCTAGTTAGAATGAAATGGATACCTAGTTTTGCTCTGTAGACATCCCTTCATTATTCTTAGTGTAGTGCATATGCACTGCTATGTATTTATGTATGCACACACACACATACTGTGCAATACACATATAGACATCTGTGTGCATACACTTTAAAAAATCATATTAAAAAAAATCGTATATCGGTGGATTCTTGCATTCTCTATTCTGGTTTATGAGCTAAACCAGTAGAGTTTGGCTATTCTCTACTTCCTAAAGCTAGAGCTTTGCAGAACTATAGAACGGCTTGGGTTGGAAGGGACCTTAAGGATCATGAAGCTCCATCCCCTCTGCCGCATGCAGGGCCACCAAACTCCATATCTAATACTTGACCAGGCTGCCCAGGGCCCCATCGACCCAGCCCCAAACACCTCCAGGGGCATCCACAACCTCTCTGGGCAGCCTGCTCCAGCACATCACCACTTTCATAGCAAAGAGAAAATTATCTTCCAGAATGTTGAAAATACAGATGTTCATCATTCTGTTCACTGATACAGACTATATGTTAGCACCCAATGCATGAACAGATGGTGTGAGGGAGTAAAACAGCACCTGAAAGTCAGTTTGTAGGCATCACCTGGTGAAATTAGTAAATCAAATGGCAATGGAAAGGCAAGCTTTAGTATGCAGAATTCATTTTTCTTATTCTTTATAAATTGTATTCCCCAAAACAAGAATGCATTTCACACAGTGCAAATCCTAAAACTCTTGGGAAAGAAAACCAGGTTGAATGTGAATACCTTCAAACAGGTAAGCTTCTTAGACAGCCTTTTCCTGTCTGACTGCATGAAAAAAGAAAAGCACTGAGCTTCTGGGTAGAAGGTAATGAGGTTTTAAGGGTGTACACATGCTCACAGAACTGAAAGTTATTGCAAGTATTAATGCAATACTCAAGGTCGGGTACGAACGAGAATCAGGTGTTACCAAACACAGGCTTCTAGTGTTTGGTTATGAATATGTACTTCTGCAGTTATGTAATGTAAGCAAATGCTATGCATGTATTACAAGAGCAAAGAATAAGTAATTTGCAGATATAAAGAATTCTCACAATAAAATCTAGCTGCCTGTGGTTTACCAGGACTGCTTTATAAGAAGGAGGATGAAAAAGAAATCCTGGGCGTAGGATGGGGTTAATGGAATGAGTTTCTAAGGGCAAGTCTTATATCAGCAAAAAAAATTGCTTAGACATCTGGAGGACATTAATACTCCTTTCATTTCTGTTTTCATGTACTACAGTTAACATCTTGACCCAATGCTAAGACCTGAGCTGATAGTTTGGGAGGGAGTCTGTGAGTGCCTTCAGTTGCAATTGGATGATGGTAGTAGGGTGGTGATTTTAATTTGCACTCTTTTTTATAGCAAAGCAGGTCAGCTCAGATCCTGAAAGGAAGATAGAATCATGGCTGAAGAAAAGGAAAGCAACTCTTGCGGCTTTTTAATATTAATAAACCCATTCCTGGGTTCTGAAATTAAAAAAAAAATAAAAAATAAAAAAAAAATTAAGGCAACTTTATAGTTTGTGAGGATGCACCTCAACAGATTGCACAGGGAAATGAGAAGTAGGACAAAATTCACACCTTCCCAGAGCAGTTATTTCCTGAGCGTGCAGTGCCAGCTGCTAGGCGAGAAGACCAGATTGGGTCACACAGCTGGGTGAAACAACAAAAAGGTAAAAATCTGAGGTTAGTTTGGACAAGTGACCAGATTTAAAAATGCAGACGGTTCAGACTTCTTATATCTGCAAATCTGAGAAGAAACAATTGTGTGCAGAGTCACAAGAGCTTGCTGGTTTTTCTGCTTCGCAAAACCCCAAACTCTCACTTCATGTATGATAATATCAAGAGACGTTTTCTCCTACATTCAGCACTGAAAACTACCAGTGGTTTGGAATTCATTTTTGTATCCTAGAACTATCATTTACTGAGTGTTTAATGGAGAGATCTGAAGCTCTAACTAGGATTTTAAAACTTGGCAATTCAGCTGTCAGCCTACCAGACTCTGAGGTGTTTACAGCTAAGATGTTTAAAAAAATGATAATAATAAATTTAATGGCAAGTTGCAGAGAATCTACTGAAAGTGTGGCTATGTTGGCTACATGCAGTCTCACAGCCTTCATATTAGATGAACTGGCTCAACTGGAAATTCAACTTTGTCCCAGTCTTTTTTTTTCTTTCATCATAGCCTCGAGTTACTGCTGTTAGCAATCTCTGTAAGGAAAATACATAAAATGTTTTAGATTACTATTTGAGTTAAAGATTAACTAGTTTTTGTCTCAGAATAGGTTGTCCCGTAATTTCTATTTCCCGTAATCCTTGTACCAATAACATGGTGGCAATATTCCTTCTCGAGGCTATAAAAATCTGCAGTGTATCTACTGATTCATGGTGAACGTTACACTCTAGTGAAAGGACTGGAGTGGTTTGTCCTCTGCTAAAGATTAAATGATGGTCTTGTTGGAGAAGGGGATTTTAGAACAAACTGAAGTTAGAACAAAAAATCTATGACTGTTGCTGATACTTAGGTTATTTTTTCCCTCCATATCCCTCTTATGGTTTAACGATAGTGACAAACATGTTTATGACTGCAAGTCTGAGCACATGGCACAGCTGAGCTGTAAAATTCCTTTAGCTGGATATCTTAATTGCGCCTTTCCTGACTAGAGCACGAGAACACTTTTATCAGTCACAGAAATGATTGGAATGTAAATTCCTCTTACCTGAATAGTGTAAGGTTTTCACTCTTTTTTTAATCTCAGTAGCTGAGATTTAAAAAAAGAAATCTGTCGAGGTAAAACAATCTGGCTTTCCCCTACTATACAGTGGTTAGGCAGCTCATCCCAGAAATCCAGCAATGCTTGTTTCACAAAAGAACCCTGTTCCTTCATTGTCTGTAAATGCAGTAGTAGAACTGTGCCTAGCATGACTTCCAATTCAGAAGGGGAAGATTATGATTTTCTGGAGGTGAAATCTGAGGCAAATGAACATGAGAAAATACTGAAATATCTGCACTTTGAACTGCCTGTAAATTTATGCATACAAGTATAGTATTAGCAATAACGTATATATTATGGAAGTACCCATGAAACTACTTAGGAATCTATATTAGCCTCTCACAGTTAATATACAGTACAAAAAAAACCTTGCAGAATTGGAGCAATGCAAGCTAGCAAGTAAGATACAAGCTCATTTGGAATGGGTAAGCATTAACTTGATATCAAATGGCATGTTTGGCATAGAGAGTTTTGCCTTATCGTGCTACACTCACCTGCATTTTATAATCTACAGTAAAAACAAGAAAACACCCAAAATTCCAGGATCAAAAAGGCTGATTTATAGCATGCACCATCAGAACCAGCCAAAACAAAGCGTATTTCTCTGGGACATCGCAGTGCTCTGGTTTTTTGCTGTACTTCTTACCATGCAAAACATGATGAAGGTCTACTTCCTCGTGCTCTATATTTTGCCCAATACTTCAAAGTCATTGAAAAACAGCTAAGATTCCCTTTATCTTTGAAGCAGTTCTTCAGAAATAACAGAACCTTTCTTTATGCTGATATTTCTGTTTTTAAGAAACTGTAAGGAGAGCTAAAATGCCTTTTTTTTTGTAACACCTAGAAATGCATATTTTATTTTTGTAGTCAGAATACCTTGCAATTTTCTCTTCCTTTTATCAGTGACCATGATTGCGATACAACAGGAAACAGAGGCCGTCTTAAGCAATTTGTCTTACTAAGATACAACTGTACAGAAGGTAAGTACCTTGATAAACCAGTGATGGGCATTGGTTCAGTTACTCTATTTCCGTAGTTCAGTTAAAACAAATAATTAAAAAAAAAAAAAAAAAAAAGGATAAAGAAAATCATTCAAGTCAGTGTGGTTTGGTTTGAGTGTTCTGCTGGTCCCTGCTGCTCCACAGTGCAGAGAGCTTAAGAACTTGGAGAAAAAAGAATGCCTCTGAGATTCCGTGTCACTTTGTAATACAGTGTTACCCAGTGTAAACGCGTTTCCTCGTGATTTACATTATTTACTTAAGGCATCTTGTTTAGAATTATTTGCTCAGAATTTTATCTGGCATAAAACAAAAATAATTAGTAGTTTATCAATTCCATGGAGATTTTTGGAATAGGAAGTTGGTTTGGGAGCCTCTTCATCGTGACGGGAGAAGGTAGCTTGCTGTCAAAAGCAGAGGGCAGTTTCAAGAAAGAAGATCCTGTTTAGATGCTCCCCGGTGCAGATGTATAGCCAGGAATACAAACAATAGAAGAGTCTGGTACTACATTCCAGTACTGGTTTGGTTTTTGTATTGTCTGTTGTTTTTTTTTTTCCCCAGTGTGTGAAAGAACCTAACAAAAAGCTTCTGAGTGCAAATCTATTTACAGAATAAGGCTGCGGTTAGGGTGTGTCTTCATTGTAGTTATTGTGTAACATAAATATCCATCCCTGAGAAAGGAGAAGGGGGACACCATCCAACACAGTTGATTTGTAAGTGTTATGTATGTTCATGTTGTGCAATCTGGTCTTACAAAACTACTTTTGACACCTGAGGTGAATTAATTTTTTTTTTTCTTTTTTAGATTTTCTCATTTTCTTATAAAGAATAATCAAGAGGATCTGTTTGTGGTTGTAAAATGTATGAAATATTGAGACAGCAGGAGTCACTAAGTGGAACATGTAAGTCCGTCATTACGTCCATGAGGTTAGAATGGCCGCTGTGTGGTTGGGTGAAGAAAATGTGACTGAAAATTGCAGTGGGAGGCAGCTATTTACTGATTTTATATATATATATAAAAAGTAGGGGTCAGGGAAGAATTGAGGAGGGAAAGCGATAGGATCTTTAAAATGTGTGCAACACAAACAGAACTCCGCGTTAGGCATTAGAGGCAAAGTGCTGACATCCAGTGCAGGTAGGTCTACGGGGAGCTGGCAGGGCTCATCGTTGGACTTGAGGCATCTGAGCGGCTGTAGTCACTGACAGACCCTGTTCTTGAATTACTCCCACTTCGTCTCTTGAGCATGCTCGGGTGGAAGTTGGCATGGCGACGGGCATGTTTGGTCAGATGGTCGCTGCGCATGAAGCGTTTCTCGCAGAGAGGGCAGCTGAACTTCTTTTCTCCAGTGTGAGTGCGGTAATGGCGGGCCAGTTCATCAGAGCGAGCAAACTTCTTGTTGCATTCCTGCCAGCTGCATTCAAAAGGCCGCTCACCTGCAGGAAGCAAACGTGGCGTGATTAGGAGACGCCTGGCAATGTTATCCCTGTTTTTCATATGCAAAAGTTAAAAAGGCTAGGGTGAGGTAGATGCTACTATGCAAGGGGATGGAGGCAGTGGCTTTCTCAAACATGGTGGGAGACCACTGTGGTATTCCATTTTAAAAAGTCTTTTAAGTCAAACTACTGATACCTTGTTTAATAACTGGATGTTCAGGGATCCTGGCCCTTCCCTGATGTCGCATTTCATATCTCTGGCAGTTCGTTGGATTTTACTTCTGGAACTGTATTCCTACTGAACATTTGCTTCCAAGCTGTCCCTGTGTTTGTTTAACTCACTGTAAAAGTTCAGACGGTGTTATGAAGTCTCCCTCTATAGCTAAATGGAAACAATTGCAGTAAGAGTACAGGATGGCAATTCTGAGGCTCCGAATGTGAGGCTCTCATCTCCTGTTCTCCACAGTCATGCTTGTGTTTTCTGCATTTGCTGAAAGGTGCAATGTGTTCTCTTGTTCACTGCCTTTGGTCTTATTTAGGCGGGAGGCATTTCAACTACATAAACGTCCCACTGTGAGGGTAGTGGCATGCTATCAGTAGCTATCCTAAAACCCGTGATCTGTGATGCTGAGCCTAGGACCAGTGACCCAGACATAGCAAACATCGCTCCCAGGACTGTGTGCTCATGCATGGCAGTCTCAAAGGCCTGCAGCTGCACACTTGTAGTAGCTGTGCAGCCTGAGAAAGAGAAGGTGGCGGCTAAGATGAACAGAACTGCTTTCAGAACTAAAGATTAAAAACTTAGTGCCCCACCAGCTGGTTTACTGGATATAGTTTAGTTGCTTAAAAAAAAACATGCAAATTCATTCAGTGTCCTCATGAGCCTTCTCCTGTAAGCTGTTGAGAACACATCTCATTCTGCTGAAAGAAATGAAATGTGAAATACATGGGAGGCAAATATTTTGGCTGTTTATCATGTATCCAGTCATCTGTTGGATACACTCCTGCCTATGACGGGACATGCCAGTAAAAACAGTTGTGCAACCAAATTCACCAGTCTTCTCCCTGTATTTTGGACATGCAACAGATGCACTTGCAGGACTTTAGAACTTTGGCAACAAGAGCAATGACACGGTCTGACAGGTGGATCTAGCCTGTAGGTTCAAAGTTTCTCATCTTTGAGATATGGCTTTTTTCTTTTTTTATAAGGCAATGGTCTTTGGACATTTCTGTTGCCCAAGTTAGTCTTCTGTGTGTTTGCTTTCATTGCAAAAGAGAACAACACACGTTCTTCACTAGAAACACTCCCCAGATTTGTCTGGGAACATTCAAGATCATACTCACCTGCCTGATTTGATGTTAATGATGGTTGTGGTGATTATTTGACTGCCAGACAAAAAAAAAAATGAGGGTGCGTGTCTTTCTTCCAATTGCTGTCTACTCTTTCTACTCCTCCTTCCTAGGAAATATTTTTCCCCTCAGCCATCTCTAAATTTGGTTCACATCTTCTTGGTGGTTGCTCTTCTCTGTACTATCTGGCAGTTGGCACCATTCTAGTGGTGATCTGTTTTCTAGAGTGCTTCCCAGCTTTGTTGAGGCTTAGCAGTGCCTCCTCAAAGAAAAATTGTATTGTTGAGGTAATGCTGAATGTCTTATGTAGGTATAAGAGTCATTAGTCCATTAAAACACAGAGTGCTGTCTGGAACAAACTTGTCTTAATTAAGGCAAAGACCTAGCTGCTGCTTCAAAACTACAGGTGAAAATTCTCAGTCTGTCATCAGACTCATCTCTCAAACAAAAGGCATGTGGTTTTCTGTGCAGGCAAGTTGTTATATAAATGTCCTTTTACTAGCAGTAATCGAGAGAATGAGATTGTATGAATTGATTGCCTAATCTCATTAAGGAGCATCCAGCCAAGAGAAGAGATGTCTTGCATAAGCACTGACCCATGGACATCTTGTACTTAGAATTTTGCCTTAATAGAATGACTGCAGAATTTGATCCTATAAATTAATGTGGAAATGTTTACTGCTGTATTTGAGATATCTTTTAACATGTCAAGTATGTCAGTGTGTATATTGAGAGTTGTAATGCTGTATCTTGGCAGGAAGAATATTATCATGGCCTCAGGAAAACTTAAGGAGTCTCCAAAAGACAAACAGCTGTGCTTGAAAATAAAGGGAGCAAAAAGAAATTCAGACCTCTACTCTTCAGAGGCTGGCAAGGGATGCCTTTTAAAGATGAGTATTTAATTTTTAACAATTTTAAGTGGCTTTGAATTTCAGTAAACTGTAACCTTCATATGTCCTCTGCCACAGCACATCATCACACATAGCTTGAGTTAGAATTCCAAAAGGTGATCACATTTGAGAATCACAGTCAGTTGATCTTAACTCAGGATTACATGAGCAAGAACATTTTTTGTTTCTCCCTGAACTCCATCCAGTTCAAAGGAAAAAATGTACATACAGCTGTGTTAAGAAACCCATAGTGCTCACTGAACAAGACTAAGTGACTTCTGCAGGTGCACTAACTTCTGAAATTATTTCAGTGGCACAGACATAACTACTAATGCTGACTATATTGTCTGCCAGAGCAGACTGCCAAAAGAAACTACTGAGTTGCCCATGCTTGGAAGCAGCATTAAAAAAAACCCCTCCCTGCACTTTTGCTGGAGAGGATTCAGAAGGATATGGGGCCAGTCTTTGCTTATGGTGTTACATAAAAGTCTTCTATTATTTTATATTTGTCAACTGTTATTTATATCAAGACATCTCTGTCTGTTTATGAGAAAGATGGTGAAACTACAGGAATGGTGGAACAAGATCTGATGTCTACCAGGCTCCATTTTTACCATGCTTCTACTGCATTCTTGACTTTACCCTGGTCCACGTATAATTCTGAGGACTCCCTTCTGGTATAAATGACACTCCTACATAGTCTTGGGAGTCATCTACTTTCTGTTTTGCCAGCTCATCTATGTGATATTTGTCCTGCTCTGAACAGGTTGACCAAGGAACTGGTGTAGTCACCATCCCTGGAGTTGTTCAAGAAACAATTAGATGTGGTACTCAGGGATATCATTTAGTAGGCAGTATTGGTGGTAGGTGGACAGTTGGACTAGGTGAACTTAGAGGTATTTTTCAGCCTTAATGATTCAGTGATTCTGCATCCAGCATTTGAACAACAACTGAAAGTCATAGTAAGTACTCTAGGTCTGAGCACATTTAAAATATAACCTACAAATGACTGAAATGCCAAAACAGGTTGTGAGACTTGGGATGCGTTACATTCTCATCCTCAAGCATATGCCAAGGCTGTGAACTCACAAAGAAATTCTTTGTTTCCTGGGACTTCAGGATTCCAAATGCATAACCACAGTTGGTCAGCCAGAAACAATTTGCTGTGTGATCTTTGCTCTGTTCTGCTGCTTCACCAGGCAGAACTGCTTGTTGTCATGAAAACAGACAGAAGCCTGAATGTGCCACGTGTGCTATTCTTAAATTTCTACGCTTTCATATTCAAAATTAAGATGTATCTGGAAACACTGACCAGCAGCAGGCTGGGTGGGGAGGATAAAGAGCAGACAGTTAAATAGATGTGCAACTGAAGCACTCTTCCTCCAAGAAAGGAAATGCTATCCTGAGGAAAAAAAAAAAACAGCCAAACAGTCTGTGTTTCTTGAGACTGGCTGTTATTTAAAAAAAGAAAGTCATCCTTCAATAGCATTGACATGTATTTACGAATATTTTCATTTCTGTTATTCTCTTGCTTATAAACAAGCATTTTTGGATAGCTAAAATACAAGCCTTTAACCTTCTGAGTTTGAGAAAGAGAATATGAAACAGCTTTGATATTAGACAAACAGTGATTTCTTTATGAAGTATTGAAAAAGGGACCAAAAAAATCCAAACCCGAAAACTTCCATATTCCTATAAACTGAAACCAGGCAGTTTAAAATTTGTGATACTGGGGAGACTTAGTTCAAAATGATACAAACCAGATGCAGTCATGTTTTTGCGTGTCTGTTCAGACGTACAAAATATCTCTGATAACCAAATCTGACAGAGATAGCAAATTCAGCAGTGTTAGGCTCCATTAAGTCAGTGAATAGGAGGAGATTCAAGTAATGTTCTTAATGAAAAGTTACGGAATGAGTTTGACTGTCATTAGATACCAGAATCCCAATGCAGGAGATCATTACAAACGCCCAAATCAAAGAAAAACTTCAACATGTTATTAAGCTCTGGAACATAACACTCCCTCCAGCCTTAGGACCCAGAGCAACAACAAGTGAGGTTGCATGACCTGCTGACAGAATTGGGTTTGTCTCTGCTATTTCCAACATCTGTGATGTGATGGAATTTTAGGAACTGAAGTTCAGATTTCCAACAGGGACATACCCAGACATAAGTGCAAACTCACTTGAATGTGTGGGCATCTCTATTAATAAGACTACTCATTAAATTGAATAGGTTGTTGGCTCTTGTGTTTTCTGAGTCCGTATGGAACTACTACTACTGGGCAAGAGCAGCACGAGCCACCATAATTTCTCTTTAAATCCTTGGTTTATTTTCTGTGTCTTAACATTTTCACTGAGATGTTTAGACACATATACTTCTTGAAAGGGGAATATCTAAGCAGAAGGTTTACATTGTAAGTTAATGTGTGCTACTATTTGCTCTGGAAGTTCTCGTGTTATCGCATCCGAGAACACAGATTACAGCGTGTGATTTACCTTTATAATCAACACTAATTAGAACAACTCAAATCCAAATAATGAACACGCATTCAGATACTGCAGTAACAATGCCTACAATGCTAGAGAAATGTAAATAATGCAGACTTCCTACCCTAGCCTTAACCACAGTCAGTTGCTAACAGTAAGGCACAGGTGATGCTTTCAGATATGCTAATCAGCTGTCAAACAGCAAGACTGTGTGCCAACATCATTTACTTATTTAAACAATATGAGTGACGTGAACTATTCTGCACATCCACATCAGCACTCTGCATGACAAGGTTTTACAGCAAGACTGTTGTGTGTCAGTCTTGCCTGCCCAAAACTCCAAGCCGTTCCTTTCACAACATGATGAGGTTATATTCTTGCCTCTCTAATAAATTAATGATTGTGTAATTCACATCTTCCTTTGCATTGTCTGAGCACAAACATTCCACATTCTGTACAGAATGCTCTCATTTAAAAGATATTTATATATTTGCTTTTATCTAGTCTCAGCTGTGTTGTGTCTGAGGCTCTAAATAAAGTCAGTTGCAAAATAGACAAAAATAGATGACAGGAAAAGATAGTGTCAGACAAATGTCACTATTCCAGCCATCTTTTTTTTCACTCGTCTGAAATGTGGCATGGTTGAAATGCAAGGGATAGCAGCAAAGAGTGAAAGAGCCAACAGGAAAGGGCTTGCAGGTGAAATGTGCCAAGGTGGTTGCAGAGTGCCCTGTCCACCTTTACAAGAATTATAAATCATAGCAGTCTAACTGAAAATATTCCTGGAGCAAATACTACAAGTGTAAACTAGGATCTCATGATCACTTCAACCATTCATATCATGTTTTTAGTACACATGGCTTAGCTGCCAAAAATGCCATTTGGCTTCACTCTTCCTAGAGAGATGGAAGCAAGGAATTCCTTCCAGCCTAAGTAAGTGAATAAAGAAGTTTCTTTCATTTCCTGATCCTGTGTAGTGCTCTAATTTGTACGCTTAAGAAGGATGCCTCCCTAATCTGGACATCACAACTCATGTTTTTATATCTTCCCTTCTGATGTTCTTAGCGAAGTTTCTGGGGGAGTTAGTGATTATATCCAGATGGAGTTAGACCAGTTGTTTTTGTGCACTGGTCATTAATACATTGAGTATTAATGCAGTGATTAGCCATGGCAGGTAGGAAAGAGAAGCCTCTGTATGTTTTTCCCCCCACAGAATTATGATGGTGCTTCAGCGTAAGGCTTTCTTTTGATGACCAGCAAAAATGATGCACAACTTAATGGTGGCAACTGCCTTACAGCCTGTATCCTCCTGATGGTCTTGTCAAAATCCACATACATAGTATTTGTCTAAACTCTCTTCAGTCATACTTGCTGTGGTCTTTCTATATGATTGCAGTGTATTAGCATGTACATCTTGAAAGCACTGCACTTCAAATTTACTGCAATACCTCTTAGTCTGTACAACTGTGACTGATCAAGACCAGCTACCTCTTACAAGAATAGGAATCCAACAGCCAGAAAAGAAAGCAACTTTATATTTTAAAATAATGCAACCTGAATGTTGTATTTTTTCTTTCAGTTAGGCCCCTGCAATTGCTGCCTGTAAATTCCTTTCAGTAAACCTAAAACTCTTACTGGATCTTCTTATCTCTGAGGCATCAGATCCTAAACCTGCACTCAGGAAAACAGCTGAAATGTTGCTGACTTAAAAGAGCAGCAACTTCCACTTTTAATTTCTCTCTCCTGTGCCTTGTACCAAGAATGGAGATGAATAGCTGACCCATTGCCTTTGCACTTAATTGCGAGATAATTAAATTGTGTTGTGTTGAAAGGATGAAGTGATGCATACTAGGGAGAGGAAGGTGTGTCATTTCCAAACCACACTGAAGTATCAGACTCTTTGCAAAGTGACGCTCACCTGGGATTAGTATAGTAGCTCGTTAACTAATGGATTTTTCTGATCTGTTGTTCTGTCCAGTTCTATGAATTTAAGAATAAGAACAAATCATTAAAATCTCTATTGTGAATGGAAAATAAGAGAAAGAAATGCTGTAAGTAGAATCTTTAAACATATTAGGGTATTACTGACAAAACTAAAAGGTGGTGGTGTTTTTCCTTTTCTAATGATCAATTATATTTTTCAGTAAATATAATTCAAAAAAATCCTAGGACTGCAAAACGAAAAACTGTAAGTACTAATCAGCAAGTCGGACCTATTGCTTCACCGCAGCAGAGGAATTTCAGCCTAGAGTCCCTGCCTGCATCCAACAGCCTGTTGTGCAAGGGGCTCTCTTCATTCCTTAGGTAAAATGTTGTGCCTTCAGCACAGGTCAGACAAGTCTGGCCTCTTACGGTGTACAGTAACATCAGTGAAGGTATGTGGGATTTTATTCCTCTTTTTCAGCCAGTTGATGAGCCAGTTCAAGCCTTTTAGAGTGACCAGGGACTGGAGGAAGGCTCTTCAAGTGTATATAATACTCAACACAGTTTTTATCAAATGAATCCCAATAAAATCTGAAAAGTAATAATTTGGACATCGGTGAATGTATCTGCTGGACAAAGATCTTAGTCATTCACAGTCCACGCTGCTTTTGTGTCAGCATGCTGCGTTGTATTGCTACAAACTGATGGTTTCAGCTGCACTGCTCACCTTCTGTTTCAACAGCAAAGGCTGTTAATGAAAATGTTGTGCCATCAGTGACTGGAGCCAAAAAGGAGAACTCCACAGCATTGATTCTCCCTCTTCCAGGAAGGAAAAAAAAAAAGCTTACCCACAGCTGACATAACTGAACCAAATGTGTCTGCAGGGAATGTGTAGTTAAGGTACCAACAGAAACACGAGGTTTCCATTACGAACGGCTGTCTGGACCTGTCCTTTGCTGCCTCAGAATTCCTCACTTGTTACCCAGCCTACTCTGCAAGCTCAAAACAGCTCTAGATCAGACATCTGACTGTTCCATGGGAGCTCGTAATGTCATTAAACTCCTTGGCACTCTCTCTTTCTCCAGCCCACTCTTTCAGTGGAAAAAGAGATTATGTATTCACACATTTCCCCATCGCCTTCAGTCCATACTGTCTCCTAATGAAACTCGCTAATGAATTACTTTGGAAGATAAGAACTTAAAAGTTTGGCTAAACATAAAGCCTCAAACCTGGAGTTGCTTGTATTGTAAGAATGTTTGAAATCAAACTGAAACATCACACATCACCATTGTCTATAAAATGGATGCAAAAACTGCCTCTGTAGTGGTTCAAACAGAGCTTTTGATGAAAGTTGACTTCATCAAAATGTTCCCAGTAATGTTTCTGATCCTTCATGTATTAATTCAAATGTTTTAAGTGGGAGAGCATGCAAACAGGTAATGATGAATTGTATGTATCTGGTGTGAAGGACAGCTGAATTCCTGCTGGAACTGTGAGACTTTGGCTCCCCGCACTGTTACCAGCACTTGCCTTAGTAACTGCAAAGAAAGAATCACATGACCCTATGAATCAGTCTTTTCTCTGTTGATACATCAATGATTTTTTTATTATTCTTTTCTACTAAAAACAGAGAAATGCTTGTCAAAGCAAAGCTTATCGAATTAATTGAAGGTTGTCCCGCTATGTAAAATAACAGACTAAAGGATTATTCATCTAAACTTAGACCTGTGCTTTATTTATCTGAATTTTGAAAGATGTTGAAAGTGATCTGCCTCCAACTGAAGTCCATATACTTTGGCATGAATAGACGCTGAGGGTTCAGTTATGACATACTATGCACACAGCATCTCCCAGGATTTGGAGACAAGATGACATCTTATTTTGTTAGAAGTCAAGCAAACAAAAAATAGGAAAGTTGCCCTTTGCTATAACTATGAAATATCTCTGTGAACTTTCAAATTGTTTAATCAACAGCCTCACAGAACACAACACATGTGAAATGTGATACTAGAGTTTATAAGCGTAGCTTTATAGCTGAGGGAAGCAGTTTAATACTGAAAGTTTGCCATAAGAAGAAAAGGAGTGGGAATTTTACTTTTGTTTTTGACTCTGGATGCGTTGTACCAGAATGCAAGGTGGTACCGAGGTAGTTTATGAGCAGCATCAGTCAGTGACCATACAGAGCATCCAGCTTCATGAAACAGGCAGTTCTGAGAAGTAATTTTATGGGCTGGTAATAAAACAGTAGGCCTGATGCCTGACATGAGCAGCTTCCATTCAGGGTATGCATAAGTCTGTTGCATACACTTCAGAAGAGTTTCTACCCAGATTGTAAAGCCGTACTTCTCATTTAAGCCTGGATTCCAGTTTTACTTCTTAATAACAGAACCAGATTCCGTGAAGACAGATGTGCTCATATTCTGATGTGCACACTTTTACAGCAGGTCAACTTTTTAGAAAATACAAGTAGTTCAACATTCAACCCTTGCAAGTCTCATTTTTATATCCTATGCTGTCAGTACTTTTCCTGTTTATTTTGCATCTCCTCATCTAACAATCTCCTTTAAGCACCCCATACTTAGAAAGGAGTGGATAACTTGCTCTTTTTTTAGTTTCAGCTTGCTTTTTAGTCTTTTCTACATGTTATTTCTTGGCTATCTTAATTATTTTGTTAGCAGTGGAGTTAATTCATAGGTATATACACTCAGTTCTCTGAATATTAGAGAATGTCCAATCCAGTGTCTCAAGCTTTCTCCAAAAGCATGTGTTTCCACCTTGGTCATACCCTATACAAAATAGGAATGATTGGTTATTAATGAGATGTTGCAGACAGACGCCCTTAGGATTGATTCCTCCTTAGATAGGCCTGCAAAGCAATTTCACTCAGAGTCTGTGAAACTTCAGGCCTCAGCAGTTCATATGGTGGGAGCACACCATGCAACAGGAGAGGCTACAGTAGATAAGCATCACTGCAAGATCACTGTTTATTTCAGCATACCCCTGGGTACAGCTCAGAACCTGCAGTTTCTCCAAGTTCTATGGTATTTTGCTGGACATCTGCTTGCAAGGTCACAGCCCAGTTATGTCTGATATGTGGGACTGTGATACAGGAGAGAGGCCGTGGCCTCTATGGCAGTGAGCACTGGCAATGAATGAAGTGAGTATGTGGTTGTGGAGGAGCACAGGTTAGCATCCTGTTATCCGAGTATGGCTTTGGATTTAGTAGCCATAATGTGAAGATTTTACATAGAACACAGACATATTTCAAAGAAGGCTTTGTCCAGGCTGTCTTGGAATACATAACTTCGAAAGCTTCTCTCTTTTCTTTGGAAATGCAGGAACTATCTGGATTCATTTATCTTTTTTTCAAAGTGGTATTGAAAGGAACATCATCACTGTTTTGGAATTCATAAAATTGTACGTATATATACAAACATGGCTTCTTTATTTAATATAACTGTTTGTCTTTGCATGCCTTGCTCATGTTTTCATTGCTTCCCCTTACAGAATAGTCTAGCCTTACAACCACTTACGTTTCAGTGCAGAATGTGGCTAGTATGCAGGAAGGATACTATGGACATACAATGTTCAGCAGCCACCACTTGCTCTATAAAGCAGTTAAAAAGCAACTTGGATGTGAATTTGACTCGCTGTTTTATTGCCAGAGTAAGCACTTAATGGAGGTTATGAGAGCTAAAGGTCATATTCATGTCGAGATGCAATCGCTCTATAGGCATACAAACTGTAGTGAAAAGATCTCTATTACTTCTTAAAATATAAATTATTAGTGCCTCAGGCATATTTACTCATGCTCTGCTACACTTTATCATTTAAGAAGCTAGCAGATCTGCTCTTTAGCAGCCTTGCTCATTTGGGTCAGAAGAAGAACCTTTCTGGCTTGTTGAGATGGTACTTCTCATTCTGTGTACAACAGATTAGTTCAACAGACTGCCTGCCTAAAGCAGAGGGGCTAATGAAATACTCTGCAAAATAAGTTTTTCTGTTGCCAAGGATCTTCAGGAGAAGCTTTCTAGATAGATAGAAAAGTTCTGTACAGCATAATAGAAAATGCAGTTTATTTTAGGCTATTATTTGACATTCTAACAGATGATCCCTGACATGCAAGTCTGTAGGCTGCCTCCAGAACACGAGACATCCAGAGCACGAGACATCATTTTCACTTGGAAAAGATCACAGAAGTCCCCACCTGCTCTTATTTCCTTTTAGATTCTTGTTCAATCTAGTTCTAAGTCTGGGAACTATAAAATGATTTGAACTTGACTCCTTGACTCCCTGTCCATATTTTTTACCCCCTGCTCAGCACAACGCAGGCAGCTGTGAGGAGCCTTGAGCTGAAATTCAGGAATGCCATGTGCAGAGATGCAAGGTTCATAAACTCGAGTCATCAGAAGATTCTGTTACACCAGGCTGACTAAATAAAATCAAAGAAAGCAGGAATTGCAATTTCATGAGCTATGCTGTACCCTGAGTTAGCTTTGGGAAACTGAGATGCTCTGACTATTGCTGCTGCAGCTTGACAGTGCCAAGCGGGACGGCCTGTTATTCCTACAAATGATGTGGAGCACACGGTGCTTTGATCATGAATTCCAGTCAATTCTTTGATACTTGTTTCTACTTTGTTTTGACAAGAAAACTTTTTACAACTCACTTTTAAGAATGTTACTCTTTGTGAATAATAGGCAAGTAAGAAAATATTAGGGTCTGGAAAGATGATACTTCAGTAGTCACAAACGGATGTTTACTATTTGGTGCAGGGAATAGAGAACATCAGCACTGTACAGTTAAATACACAGTGCTGTCTGCATGCTTATAGAGGAACATTTGTACATCACCTTTTCACTATAACTCTTCTGTTCTACTACTCAAGGCTGTAAATGCTATAAGAGAATAAAGTCAGCATTCTGGGCGAGGCAGCTCAAGCTTGTTCTCTTGCCATTTGGGAGAAGGAATTGGACACAGGGAGTCCACACACAAAGTAATGCAGAAGCTGGAAGAATTAGAGTTGATTATTTACTGACCACTGCTGGGTCAGTAGAGTTCTGTATGGCCGTAAGGAGCTGCATCTGTGTTTTATAATCAGAAGAGCCATGCACAAGCTTGACTTAGGAACTATATACTTACAGTATATAGTATAAATATAGGGACTGTATGCTTAAGAAAAAAAAGTCTGATTTCAAAGTGAGAAACAGTTGTGCTGCAGCATTCTTGTTCTTACTGTGTTTGTACTTGAAATGGCAAGAACTGCACTCATGTTAGTTTCTTCAGAAAGGGAATACCACAAAACTCTACAACTACTTAGCTGAGAAAACAGTTAAATGATAACTTGCAAAGCTATCATTTGCAAATGAGAGTATAGCTCAATTCCTCCAAAGCATGCAGAGAAGAAAATCTGAGTGTATTACATCAGGTGTTGTAACATATTCATCTTTCTGTGATAAATTCAACTCAACATCTATGAAAGCAGATGTCTGTGTGTATGTGTGTGTATATATAATACATATATACATAAAACATACAGAAAAATGTAGCTTATACCAAATGTCTGTCTCCCTGATTGACCTATGGGATCTACTACACGCAGCAGTGACCGTATTCAGCTTACAACATTTATGTCTACTACAGAAATACACAGTG